TAGTCGTCGATAATAATAAGTGTCTTTGTGGAATGACAAATTTACTTAATTTTATTAGCCTACACTGGAAAGGTATAACCTTAGTAATAATATAATACCTAGACGTTTATATGTAAAATTAAATATATCATAACTAATCACAAAATGTCACGAACGTTTGAAAAGATGTTTTGTATCTATCTACAAAACATCTTTAAACTGTAAAGATTTAGCGTTAACCCTATTGATTAAAATAAAAAAAACGTGTAATTTGGTTCCAAATCTAGCTTAATTGGTATTTGTTTAAAAAAAAAACTGTGAATGCAGTGTCATAATTGATTTTTTGGAAAAAAATCTTTTAATCGGTACCGATAAAACCGATTAAATATTTTTTTGAAAAATATTTTTTTATCGGTATCTTAATTCCATTTGTTTATAGAGATATAAAAGATATAGTATAGAGATGAAAAGATAAAGTATAGTGTAGAGATGAAAAACGAAAGCTTTAGCTTTTACCTTTTTCATCTCATCTGCAAAATAATCGTTTCATACTTTAACAAATACTACTATAGTTACCACTAGTATAACTATTATTAACAACTTACTCTTAAAATCACAATATTAGTCAAATCCTTTATAGCGGTAACCCTCACGTCATACTCATAGTCGAGACTAAATCCAATTACAGCGAATCGTAGCGCTACAGCGCTGGAATTACCTTAACTTATATACTGTCGAGAACAGATACATAGCATGTCACTTTACTACACTTTGAATAAAATATAATGACTACCGGTCGCAATAAATTTACAACTGACATGAGAAAGTGGTAGGTTTTTAAGAATTATATTTAGGCAATCCCAAATTGACTATTTCAGTATTTTCTATCTCTATTTATTAAAAATGTTTAGTACTTTTTGTGATATATATATATATATAATATCCTGTTATATTGGAAATTAAAATTTGTTCGGCAATTGATACGTAATTGGTTAATAGAAATCGCAATAAGCATGGTTAGCTTTTTTCTGTATTAGAATAGGTATAAAACACGGAATTGTTTAAATATCTAAATTTCGGTGATTTCGATGCTACATTTCCAGTACCGCTACTTCTATGTAAAATGTACCTAAGGCGGCTCTGCTAAATGCTAGCAACGGGCACGAGCGAACTGTCAAGTATCGTCGAGTGCCAGGACGTGACTATCGACTCGACTCAACGTAATCTACATTGGTTCAAACTAGAAACGAAAATATGGAATACAAAAAATTTAATTCAATATACCTACTGGGGATTTCTTTTTGTTTTGGTTCAATCATATCTTATCTGTGGTTTAATTAAACAATATTATTTTCATTTCATTGAATATTTGGACTTCACTCACTGTTCATAAACTACCAAATAATTGATATAATAAATAAAAAATAATTATAAAGTCCGGGAATATGAAATACCTAATTTCACTTATAATTCCAAGTCTACATTACAAAGAAAAAATTAATTTTAGTAAAATAACAGTTAGTAACTGTAAATGTCTTGTACTTGGAAATTGCTTTACGTATTCATATGTATTTAATAGAAGTTGTCTTCTCTTAAATACCTATGAATATTTAAGATTTATTTTATGCTATGCCTATTATTTGTTATTCTTTGATTTAATAACTCATACCAGTTATCTGTTTGCAATTTAATAGAATTCAAGTAGTAAGATAGCAGAAAATAATGTGTATATCCATTAAACACCGTATATGTGGTAACTATATTATAATTGGTTGTACATTTTATTTTTTATGGAAATAAAATGGAATTCAAATGCTGTCTATAAAGCAATTAACAAACCGTCGTTTTACAGGTTCTGTGAACGAAATCTAATTTGATGACACTCTTACATAAACTGATTGCTTCGTAAAAAAGGTATTGATAGGGCGGATACAAGAGCTGTCTATTGAATATTAATGGTAGGCGTTGGAGAGCTCTCATTGACAGCTCGGGACGTCAACTGCATTGAGGTATTACGTACAGTCGCATGCAATAACGTGTATAACTTTTAAAACCTGTCACCACATATTATGATGGATCATATTATGGTTATATACATATAGGTACATTACATGATGGTACTATGAGTCAGTACTCAAATATGTATACATTAATACACGTGACTGTACTAATGAATTCGGTATCTGATCTCATCTGATTTGAACGAATTCACCGTATTTGCTGCCGCCCTACCAACCTAAAGGGGTGCGACGCGACGCTTCACTTGTTACACACAAGACGAACTAATAAGTAAGCTATGATATTTACAAAGTGGTCAATATGTAAAAACGTATTTTTTAATCACTTTTATCAGAAACAACCTTTCAAATTTTACCTTTTACATTTTGCACGCACGAGGCAGTGTTTCTTCCAGTACATAATACATCAATGCACGACTATATTTAACTGAAGTCTGTGCATCCATCGATGCGACGTGATTTGCGAACGTTTTGGCACAACCACTCGAATAAATATAATAAAATTCAATTCAAATATTTAACTAGAATTCAATTCAAATGTTTACTCGTTCTATTGTAAATTCAAGTTCTGTAATAATTTATTCATTACATACATTTCATGTTTGCCAAATTTTATTACGTATGTGCCGAGTGTAGTGGTAACAAAATGAAATCAGTGCAGAGTGGTTTAATATAATGATGATAAATGAATGACCCAAGATAATGATTTCTTCTTTGTGCAGCTTGTAAAGTTCTAAGATTGGCCTCAACGACATTCGTGGTAATATCTTCCAAAATACATTTCAGTTAAAAAATAAAGTATTAAATGACATTAAACTTTAACAATTATCTGCATGTACCCACTTTATAATCATAGCTTCGAATAAAATTAGTATATTTAATAATAATTACCAGCGGCCCATCCCGGCTTCGCAGCGATGCATTACAAATCTATGAATTTCTCGGCTTCTTAACTATTATAACATCCATGTATTATACATATAAACTTTGCACTTAAATCACTCTATCTATTGCTGAAAACTGCATTAAAATCCCTTTGTAATTTAAAAGATATAAGTCAACAGAGAGCGGCGGCCACTTTGTTTTATACTAGTAATAATATTAATAAAGATAAATTATATACGAACAAACCACCCTTAACTTATTTGTTTAGTAATATTTACATAAACTTAAGATATTAGCAATATTAATCCATAGCTGCTTAATTCATTGAATTTCTAACAAACCACTTGACAGTAGTTATGATTTTATAGATTAGTATTAAGAAGTAGTATTATTAGCCGATTACTGCATATCGACGTTCCCTCGGTATAGGTATATCCAGACAAACTACTCGTAACATCATTAAATTCTGATATACGATGTTAGTTTAAGCTACTAAAATTCGAAATGGACTACATCGACTTGGCATGTACCGTTGGGAACAGACGTGACTTTCCGATTCCTAACTACATACACCACATAGTCAATATACTAATGTAGCACCTAGCAACCTATGTACCAGGTACATCTGAATTAATTTACCTATCCAAGTAGCTTAGTAGTTAGTATATGCAACTATTTTGGTGGACAGGCAGTTGAGGTAATTATTGGTGGTATTTCTATTGAAAATACTAGAATTTTCATTTAATTTTGTTGAATCTAATTCTGATACAACAAAAAACATCTATATGTAATTCTAAAAATTGTTCAGAATTGAGATTTTATTTTTGTAATTATACATAACTCATTTGTTTTTTGTAATTCACAAAGGTTTTTCATAATATAAATGCTTTAAATCTCAATATAATGCCACATAATTAAAAGGAATTTTAAATTCTGAGTAAACAGTAATATTCTCTTTTAGGTTCTTGTATCCAACAGGGTTTATGATATAATAAAAATGCTATTGTTATATATATCTATTTTAAAATTTTTAGGAGAATTAGAGAAATAATAATAATTAATATTAAATATTAAATATGTTTGATTATTGTAATCACTATAACTTTATCCCTAATATTTAACAAGAAAAAATACCACATTAACGTGCCATTATTAATAAGGCATCATCTGTAAGTGTATCCTCATTACATAGTAAGGTAGGTAGGTAGGTAGGTACATTAAATTTAGTGCACCGGACTAAACCAGTAAAATTATTTCATTTCCATTTGAATAGAGCTACAATGAAATGCTTTTAAATCCATTAAACCGTAGTTACATTCGTCAAAGGGTCACAGTTCGACAGGGACGGGTGCTGGGGACGGAACAGGTCGGAGGCCACCGACAGACGACAGTGAGCGCGTCGTGTCCCCATGCCAGACGTAGCCGCCGTCCTCCACGGAACTCCATCATTAGTGTGCTCACTCAATGTGAAAGCGATTTCATCCCCGACTATTCCGCCGCTTTGAAACTGGCGCAATATTGTCGAAAGCAGGAAAACTCTTTACGAAAAAAATGTTTCTCAAGTGACGGCGAAGAAAATGCGTACCGAATACCGCCAGAAGCCAATCTAGCGAACGAGTCTCGACGTCGATACTACCTTGCGTTTACGTTATCGATGAAGCTCCGACCGGATGTGCACCGGCTTGTAACGAAAACGAGTGTCGGCACGGTACAAACTCCCACCGCCCGCGGTTGTAAACGCGGGCGCTTGAAACAACTTCGTTACAACTCCGTTCTGTTTTGTTCCTAGCCTGCAATATTAGTTTTAGACAAAAAGCTATTTTTCAACCCGCCGTCGAAAGGTCTTGTGAAGTTTTCTAATTTAGTTAATTCGTACTCAACGTTTCGTGAAGCCCCGTCTGTTAAATTGAAGATACCAATATTGATAAAATAAAGAGGCTTGAATTTCACCGCAATTGTTAAGATATTATCGTTGTAAATTGAACGAATTGTATGCTTTAGGACTTTTCAATTGAATCATTTAATGTATTTTACAGAAATTCGTCATGAAAATGTTTTTTTTTTCTGTAGATAAGTACCTTAATGATCGTTTTAAAAACAAATTGCCTTTCGTTATAGGTATTACTGTTTCCGGAAGAAGGTTGGGCTCGGAGCGCATCTTCCTCATACTGGACCCTTCAACCGTGTTGGTGGCGGCGGTCTCGGTGTAAAGTTGTCGAGGTAGCTGGAACTAGAAGGTAATTAAATTAAATTTATTCAGTTTACGTCATCAAATGCAAATAAAACATATTATTAGGTATATGTGTGCATAGAAGATATTTTAAAATATTGAAGACTATGTTCATATATAATATTTATATAATAGTTCATATATATATATACCGTTACAACAATAGACAGGTATGTAAAATAAGATAAAATCCTAAAAATTTTTTTTAATGACAACACATGTACATCCTTTTCTAGTTAATACTGTGATAGTATTTGTTTTTATAAATTAATAATTAATTGTAATAGTTGCATAATTTTAGAAAGATTTTTCAAAGTGTATTTATTAAGTGAGTCTATCTTACACAACTTACGCTAGTATAAAAAAAATATACCAATAATATTTATAGAAAATCTGAACCCGATTTCAATCAAAGCAGTGAGGTGGATTTTTGGATTTTAGTCAGTCGTCATATTCAGGTTGAATATAACTTTACGTTCAGATGTTGTCTGTCATTGCTGAAAATTTTAGGCTGTAGTGCATGGGCTTTGTATTTTTTTAATAAATAAAGAGTGGAGTGAAGTACAAGAGTTCACTCGCATCGGAATAATAACTATTTCATTCGAGTTATTTTAATAGCTATAATAATTTAACACTAGCAGACAGATAGATAAAAAGTTAAAACAGTGTTTCAAGGTGTCGTAAAGGAAATATTTATCATCTCTGTTCTACATTATGTTACGGCGCTTTTCGCAATTAACACCATATTCAGGTGAGCTGAGCCCGCAATCCTCAGGTGTTGACAAACGGCCGGAAGTGCCCGGGGGCGCCACTATCGTGAGATCGTAGCGCTTTGCCGCGAAACACTGAAAAGTGGCGCGAACGTGCCGCAAATAAATATGGCCGACGCTAAAGGGCTTAATGCGGATAAGATGCTAGTTATTACAAAACTGTTTTTGATATATGGCCTAATTTATTTTAATATATTTTGTTTACTTATTAGAAAAAAAATTATTTGTATTAATTAACGATAACATTTTTCTTGTTGCATAAAAAATATTTCTAAAAAGTACTACTACGACTGACAGGCACCAACCACCACCTACGTACAGCAATAAGGACCTTCAATTAATATTAAACAAAACAAATAAAATAGACATACCTACCTACGTATATGTATTCTCATTTTGGCGACACGATCATTATGATATTAGGAATATTACTCACAATATTAAAACAATCCAATATAAGACTATTACAATGTTGTGATATCGAGATACGTTAATTACCTGTATATGAAGAGGTAAATATGTATTGTATAGGTATTTACTGAAAAAGATAGTAATGTACATAAGTATCTACTACCTAAAAAATCTTATTATATTTATACTTAAACTTTAAATAACCCTGTCGTCTCCATGTCACTTAAGTATGCGACAACCATAAAACTTCTCGCTTTGCAGTAATAGTCGGTTGATGAAAGTTGCCCTATGTTAACAAAACTATTAAAAACAACTTTTGCCGCGGAAAAATGTCGATGCTACGACACCGGAGCTAAACGGGCACCGTTAGCGTTAACGATTATTGCCACCCGCCTCACTATTTTCCACAAATGATCCCCTATTTCATGATAACACTAGCCCAGAGATCTCTTCCCTGAGGGAAGCGTATATTGTCTCATTCCGACAGTGGCAGTTTTAAAACTATCATGGCAATCTCGCACTACGCTTTAGCAAACCATTAAGAAGAAAAACGATCTAGCATTGTTACTCCTAAACGCCCTGTTGGTGGTTACCTGCAACTCCTACACCAATTTAATTTCAGTGCTCATTCCAAATTTCAGGACGCGTTATAGCGGGTGATAACACCGAAGAAAGTAGTGCGAAAGTGCGCATAAAGGTTTTTAATTTGTTCAGGCGTTCCCTAGAGCGTGTTGCGCGGTGTTCGGGGCCATTATAGGGCGGCTGCCATTACATCGACCGTTAGGGTTTCGGTAGGTACGTGTTGGATTCGCGCCCTACTAAGAGGACGACGTGCCGGGCATGCGGACTATCCGGCTAACTCTACAAATGCACCGAACGTCACAAATCCTCACGGCACTGAACACCACGTAACTTGTTATATTTTTCTATATATAAAACAGATCTGTGTGAACTACACTATCTAATGGGGTGCAATAAACAGATAATGTGCACACAGAATACCAGGTGGGAAGGTAAGGGCCATTGGTAGGGTGCAGCAATTATATAAAGTTTCTAATTCTACTTAATCCATCCTATGGTTTATCGTTATACTTATTTTAAATAATAATATGTAAATTACACATTATGTATAAAATAAAAAGTAAATATTATGTAAACCTTGAAACAAACACCCACATCTAAGAATCTCCGAAATGGTGGAAATTTTATATCCTTTCCAAGACAATAATTTACAAGGGTTCTTAGAAAGCTAATAAAAGAAAGCTATCTTAAAATTGCTGTAGCTGTAAATACTGTAGAAAATCAATTCAGACTGTGTAATTGGTAAATCTATGATAGATCATTGATTGACCAAGTTCCTTTAAGTATATCCCTGTGTATATTTACCTGGGTAAACTTCTTAGACAACTCATATTACTTATATAGGTACTTTATAATTATTATATTGATCACAGGCATAGCACGCACGCTCGGATGGTGATCAGTGGTGGAAATGCTGTGTACATCGTAGGCACGTTCAAACACCTTGGTACCGATGCCGATTTTAAGGTGAGACTAATAATAATAATTTCATTATATGTGTAATCAATCAGTCTTAAATATGAAATTGTTTGTGGGTTCTTTTTTCCATTCCAACTAGTCTTATAAGACTAGTCTGCCCCGTTTTGCATTTATGTATTAACTAAGCATAAACATGTAATTTTTATTTATTTGTAGCAGTACCTTTATTTGTTGAAGTATATGGAGTTAAATTGCCTGAAATGTTGGAAGTTAGTTTTTAAATGCAACATTTATTTGAATTCCTTTCTTTTTTGGAACTGATATAATTCTATATCTAATTCAATAACGAGGAAACTAAATACCATGCAATAGCTGTGATTTTGGATCTGGTTATAATTAATATAAAATAATATATTTATAAATGTCATAACTTAACAGATGCAATATGATTATTTTCTAATAGTTATACCTAACAACAAATGTGACACAAGCCGACTTCAACATGGGTTACACCATGACTGGAACATTGGAACGAGGTAGCAGGTCAACCAATATCTTCCAAATGACACACTTCGCCGTACTCCGCCGCTGTGATCACGACACGCACCACCTCAAGACTTCCTAGTTGCATTAACTAGAGTAGCATATTATGTTAAATACTTCTACTAGTAACCATTAGTATATGCTTTTCTACAGGTCTTATTAATAATTTGTATGACAGAATGTTGAATCTAATTAGGTGCTGAATAAACGTACATATGAATTTCGAATATTATTAAAAAAGTAAGATGTTTTGTAATAAGTTGGATTCATGTGCCGGTAGTGCAACAAAATGACATTAGTATCAGCCGAGTATCTATCCCAGTTGAATTAGTAGTAAAGTATTGGCTTCAAAAATTCTTCATATAAGTGGTAGGAAGTACGATTGATCTCATAGAAATTGCTAGTCTACTTCGAGTATAAGTTTAGTTTTTAAGGGTATATTGCCAAGCGATATTGTGATCTCAGACATCTGAAAATTTGCCATAAGGTTTTTACGAACAGTCTCTTTATTAATAGTATTATCTATAAACAGAAGCTGTAGGATAATCTTGTAAATAATTTCGGTAATATGTACAGCGCTTCATGGCCGTGTAGTGGCAAACCTAGAAATATTATTTTTTATATATTTATCATACTTTGACATCATTGCCGTACCGTCTAACAACTAGGCAGTATCTTACCTAAGTAGATTTTAAGTATTTATTTTATATATAGTAAATAAAATTATGGAATGATGTAGAAAACTAATTAGTAGGCTTCTGTTTTAAATATATCACAATGTATCTGCCTACTTGATATTAATCAGGAGTCAAACGTACCTGCCTTAGGTCTCATCGTTTAGATAAATCAAAACCATTGTATAATATTTACATCGCATTGTAACTTTCATTATTTTATCTGCTCATCGAAAAATTATAAATGGATTGAAATTCATTTTAAAATGGCTGTGAGCGAGATATTTTCGTGGAGCTTCTTCACGTTCCACTGAGCAAAATAATAATATATTGGTCAAGCGCCTAATATCGATCGTGGCCGGACTTGCTAGTCTATATCTCGTAAATGAAAACAAATTTTCGTTTACAGAAGCCAAATGTGTACAATAAATCAGATCAGCCTTATTTATCTAGTGGCTTTAATACAGTTTTGTTGGTTTGCTTTATTGTACACAGTACAATACAAGTAAATTGTGATAGGTATCACATTCACGTAGTACTTAATCAATTACCTTACTTGCGTTAACAACAACTAACAAACTTGTAGGCAATCTAATCGAAAGAACTTTAATTAACAAAAAGTGTGTACTCATTGTTCTTTACTACATTCATGATAATTATAAGTAACTAGATATATATAATAGATTTAAGAATAAGATCTAACTTCACAGAAATATGTAGAGAAAAGTTACGCAGAAATTGTAAAATCAAATGCACATCTAAACATATTTCTGAAAAGTTGATTAAACCACAGACATACATTGATAGGCGTAAATGTCGTAATTTCATCAATCTACTTTGCGTACTCATTTATTCATTTAAATAAGCTCAAAAGAGTTTACTTGGAAACAGGCAAAATTTAGATTGGAGGGTAAATTTTCAGTTCAAAATAGTTTATATCCATAAAGGAAGAAAAGGAAATCATGATTTCATAAATTAGGTACTAGACTTTTTTTATGAATTAATACATGTAACTGACCCCATTCTGTACGTTCTCAACGAAATACTAAAATGATATCTTTCGGCTTTTCAGTCAAATTTGATCCAGATTGATTCCCAAATTATCTATTATATTAAAGAAAAGTCGAAAAGATAACTGTAGGTTATATAGTAAAAAATACATATTACTACGAAAACATAACCTCGTCAGTATGAAAGAAAAAATATACTTAATAACTTAGTTTTTACGTGGATTGATATTCTTGCGCCGTCTACGATTGTGTATGTTAGTGGTTCGATCTAAGAATTAAATATAAAGGGTCGAAAAACACAAACGTCCAGTATCGCACTCCCTCCAGTGTTTACACACATCATTTATGTACAAAATTATGAATATTGTATTGGCTTCTACTGCTTGACTGTAACTAGTAGTGCGATCTCTTTTATCTCATCGTTTAACTTATTACAGATTAATGATTAATAGATCGTATAAGATTTTAGGATCTACTGATCTAAATGTAACTTATGTCGAATAGTAAAAATAACCTAACAACAGTTTAAAAGCCCGTTTAAATCTACTCTCGATATATGAATTAAAATAGACAAATCAATTTATTTTTTAAAGTTAATATTGAGTTATCGTATTTACGATCCTTTTAGTTAAAATAATGAGGTTCAGTTTAGTTTTAGTTTGCCAAGATTTTATTTAGTTATCTTAATATTTCCAATACAGGTCAATTTCCATAATTTGTCTTAATTGTGTCAATTCTTAGTTCAATTATGAATTTACACTTATTGATTTTTTAATTAAATTGAATATATAATATCTATTCATAAATAAATATACATATATCCGAACTTAAATCAGGGTTTAATCGAAGTAAGTATTTCATAAAGAAGCTTCTCCGTGTAATTAATTGATTGTATGTAATTGATTTTTATATAGAAAAGGATATTTTTGGTATGAGGTTTTAAAAAAATAATGAATTCTTACTTACATGTTTGTTTCTTTTTATGTAAGTTAGGTATATTGTTACACCTCTACTACTAATAATAAAGTATTCATGCTATTTTATTGCAAATTCAGTAATCAATTTTATAGAAATATTTTATGTATATCACTTACATTACTACTATTACTAACTATTGCTATAAAACTGTGTGTACTTAAAAAATACTATAATTCAATAATAATAAGAAAATGAAGAGGCTATCACTATGTTTAATTTTTCTTTCTTTTTATAGCTATCGTTAACGTCTACAGGTGACTGAGTGCTTAAACTGTTACAGTTGCTTTGAAAACTTGTAGATGCATGTGACTCCTGTTCCAGCAAATTTCAAATCCAACCAATCTTACAGTTAATTTTTCCAACTAAGCAATGACCGTTAATATTACTGTCTAATTAAACCGAGTAACAGTAATTGCGAGAACTATCAAGGTACCTTCAAAGAAACAATTTTCATAATGTTTTGTTGTCATGGCCTCGACAGAAGCTCTTGTCAATATTGAATAAGGAAATTCGTACCTTATAACTCAAAATAAAGGAAAACAATTTGTGTTGTAATCTATTTATTATACAAATGTAAACACATTGTTCTATAGTCTACGTATAACTAGGGATAATAGATAGTTTTCCAAAGCGATTGACTCTTAAAACCTTACCTCGTTGTTTATCAGTCATTTTCTTCCTTCGGTGGACCTACCACCTATCTATAAGCATTTAAAATGAGTATATTCCAATTTATATACGTATTTAGATACTCAATTGAAATAAAAGTATTTATGTAATACAAGTGCCAAAAACAATTTAGGGAGCTTTTATTATAAGTTTTAAATTTATGATGTCATTTTTTTACATAATTATGTGATGTAAATAATCGCTTCAAATATAAATGTTGTCTTTCGTATAAGATGACTAAATAAATTGTATTATACAAAATAAGTTTATTTTATTTATCTCTTTCATACTTTCCTTAAACTCTGTTCGTTGTAATTAGGTTAACGACCTTAATAGGATGATAAGAATTTTGTTTAATACCTGATTAATTTTAATACATTAATCAAATAATTAGATTTTCCGCCTTCTAAAAATGTTCTTTGAAAGATTCATTTCGTAAAATAATAGACAACAAATTTAAAAACTAATAAGAAAAATTCTATAGTTAGTAAATGTAATGTATCTTATCTCTGTATTTGCTATAAATACAGAGATAAGATATAATACTCAAAGTTTACTTATTTCAATAAATATACTCAAAATAATTAGTTTAGGTGCAGGTGATTTAATGGCGCCTTGTTATAGAGCCGAGGATCAATTTCAGTGCATAAAATTATTATAAGTAATTGTAAACATACTCTCACATCTATATACATAACACATGATTAGCCAGTCATCTAATTACTTAATGCAGAAACAATTAATACACGAATACCTTATTTTATATAAACAAAAGTATAGTTTTTTTTGTTACATATTACATATTTCTAAGATGTATACTCCTTGTTCCGTATTCCGAAACTCCTCAGTCTAAGCAGGTTGTATCACCGGCTTGCTTACTGAAGCAAAGGGCGCTCGGTAATACTGGCCACATATAAAAACATGTGGCCACTTAAATTTCAAAAAAAGAATAATAAAACAATTGAAAATAAGAACTGGAATTAAAAGGACGCTCCGTATTTTTATCTATATATAACAAGATAATTAAGGAATTATTTAACACAATTTAATTGTTTTTGATGAAAATATACACTCTAGAGTGCGTGGCCACTAAACAGTACTACACATCGGTTCCTGAGCAAAGGTGTGTAAGTTTACATATTTTGGGGTGTTCGAGTGTGGACGATGTTCTTCCAGGTCGAAATCGTATTTCTGCTATCTTTCCCATTAATTATTTTATTTTCAAATAATACAGTCCACTCTCTATTTTATATATTATTTTATAAAGATTCGTAATCCAACACTACTAAAATTATTATTTTTTACTATGATCCAATTTTTTTTTTATACTACTATGGTGGCAATCAACCATATGGCCCATCTGATGGTAAATGGTTACCGTAGCCTATGAGCGCCTGAAACACCAGGGGTATCACTTGCGCGTTGCCGACCCTTAAGAAACCTTAATATACCCTTCTTGAAAAACCCCATGCTGTAGTCTCGTGGGAAAACCTCGGCAGGAAGTTCATTCCACAATCTAAGTGTACGCGGGAGGAAACTCCTCTGGAACCGCACTGTTCGGGACCACTTTTCCAGTGTGTGGGGATGAATTCCCTATGGCGATAAATGGCTGTCGGCATCATGTCGAACAATTCCTCAGAACACAGTGTTGTATAATCGGTAGAACACACAAAGCGAGGCGAAGTCTCGCCTCAAGCTAAGTGGCTCGATACCGCCAGAGAGATTGGGATCATCGACAATTCTCATAGCACGTCTCTGAACCGAGTCAAAAGGACCGAGCCCAAAGATGAGAGCAGTACTCCATGTGCGGCCGAACCTGTGACTTATATAAGAGAAGTCTCTGGTCCGCAGTGAAGTACCGCCTCGCTCTATTGAGCACACCGAGCTTCTTGGACGCCAGCTTTACCTTTTCTTCCAGGTGACTGCGGAACTCAACAGTACTAGAGATGTCGACACCGAGAATCCCAATACTCTTAGAGATGGTAACGGACGTGTTCTGGAATCGGAGACTCTGGTAAGAATACTCTCGATTTCAGACACAAGCTGTTCGCGTTTTGCCTCCACAATGGAAAGAGGGATATTAGCACGGCCCGTGTAATATGCGTTCCCGGTACTGTCATCCGCATAGCAATGAAGGTTAACTGTGGTTAACAGATCATTGATATGCAGCAAAAACAGTGTTGGGGAGAGAACAGAGCCTTGCGGGACGCCAGCGTTAATGTCCATGCTATCGGAGCAATCACCGTCTACCACGGTTTTGATGCATCTGCCAGACAAAAAACTAGCGACCCATTTGCATAATCCCTCTGGTATTCCGTACGAGGGCAATTTCGATAGAAGACCTTGATGCCAAACCCGATCGAATGCCTTCGCT